CTCCTGGCTTCGGTTCGGCACAGCTCCAGCCATTGTGGCCAGTTGGGGAGTGAACCATTGGATGGAAGACCCCCTTTCTCTCTCTCGCTCTCGCTTTCTGTTTGTCCTCTCTCTTTGTAGCTCTGACTTGCAAATAAATAAATAAAAAACCTTTTAAAAAAAAAAAGAAAGGAAAATTTTAAAGATTAAAAAAAAATGGGTCAGCTCCGTGGCTCAATAGGCTAATCCTCTGCCTGGGGTGCCTGCACACGGGGTTCTAGTCCCAGTCGGGGCACCGGATTCTGTCCCGGTTGCTCCTCTTCCAGGCCAGCTCTCTGCTGTGGCCCGGGAGTGCAGTGGAGGATGGCCCAAGTGCTTGGGTCCTGCACCCCATGGGAGACCAGGAGAAGCACCTGACTCCTGGCTTCGGATCAGCACAGTGCGCCGGCCACAGCGGCCATTGGAGGGTGAACCAACGGCAAAGGAAGATCTTTCTCTCTGTCTCTCTTTCTCACTGTCCACTCTGCCTGTCAAAAAAAAAAAAAAAAAAAAAAAAAAAAAAATTAAAAACAAATGAAGGGAAGAATAGGATTTAGGAGGTATAAAAAGAAGGTCGAGCATGCATATGGTAGGAGTACCTGTGGAAGACTTCCAAAGCAAGAAGCCAAGAGCAAAATAGTATTAGATCCACAATTTGAGACACCTTTCCTAAACAAGATCTGAAATGAAAAACTTACGTTCTTACCAGACTTTTTTTTTTTCTATTTATTTATTTTACAAGTAGAGTTATAGACAGAGACAGAGAGAGAGAGAGAGAAAGGTCTTCCTTCTGTTGGTTCACTCCCCAGATGGCCGCTATAGCCGGCGCTGTGCCAATCCGAAGCCAGGAGCCAGGTGCTTCTTCCTGGTCTCCCATGTGGATGCAGGGGCCCAAGTACTTGGGCCATCCTCCACTGCCCTCCCGGGCCATAACAGAGAGCTGGACTGGAAGAGGGGTGGCTGGGACTAGAACCTGACCCCATATGGATGCCAGCACCACAGGCAGAGGATTAACCTAGTGAGCAACGGCGCCGGCCCCAGTTACCAGACTTTGACTTTGGATTTTATGCCTGAAGTTTCTTATCTAAGATGCTAAAGGAAGCAAGGATTTTATATCCAGCAAACTGATTTTCAAATACAAAAAGACGAATTGTCAGTAACTTACAAGAATTCAGAGCATGTTGTTCTCATAATCTCTCCTTTAGGAATCTACTAGAAAGTGAAATAAGAACAAGGACAACTCAAAGGACAGCAACTTAAGGACTGATGATAAACAATGAAGTTTATATATTGATATATGCTTGTAGACCTAAGTATGGGTCTAGTTGCCACTGTTTCATCACAGTAAAGAGATCAGTGACAGAAATTATTTTAGATTACAGCACATGAATTCAGTTATCAAAGTCTAGGCTGGTAATTGCAAAACAAATGGTTTGGTTTCTGCAACAGATTGTGAGGGGAGCAAAATTAGGATGGAAAGAAGGGAAGAAAAGGAGAGGAGGCCTTTAGATTAAAGATTTGAAAACTTAAAAAGCAAAGCTAGTATTCATTGTTACACTCTTGGGTGATGAATTATGAACCACCCAGAAAAAGAATGGCAGTAAGTAGTATAAAATGCTTAATAATGAGTTGTTCTCAGAAGACAGGAGTTGTGATTGAAAGAGATCCTATTTTTTTTATAAAGATTTATTTTATTTATTTGAAAGGCAAAGTTACAGTGAGAGGTAGAGCCAGAAAGAGAGAGTTCTTCCATCTGGTGTTTTACTACCCAAATGACCACAATGGCCACAGCTGAGCTGATCCAAAGCCAGGAGCCAAGAGCATCTTCCGGGTCTCCCACACAGGTGCAGGGACCCAAGGACTTGGGCCACCTTCTGCTACTTTCCCAGGCCGTAGCATAGAGCTGGATCGGAAGTGGAGCAGCTGGGACTTGAACCAGCACCCATATGGGATGCCGGCGCTGCAGGCTGGGGCTTTAACCCACTGCTCCACAGCGCCAACCCCGAGAACCTATTGTTTTAACCTTTGTGAAGAGTCTTGATGTTGTTCCTGTTTTTAGTTGGATAAGCTTATATAATAATGAAATAAATTAGAAAATCAGAATGTTATAATGGAATAAAGTTAAAAAACTTGTAACTAATATTCTATAAATTTTTAAAATTAAATAATGTACTCTAAATGTAGGTAAAATGATAGAAAATGAGAATATTTCATATGAAATATGTACACTTTTTCAGTAAGATAAACGATAATCAAAAACATCCTCCATTGTATAGAATGTCCGCCTCATAACCTAATGTTTCTAAATTTAAAATACAGATTTCAGGGGAGTCAGTTAAAGGTGGCAACAACTCTAAATATAATTTCAGACAGTTATATGGGGGGGGGGACTAATAAAAGCATACTGAAAAGCAGATTAGTTAAAAAAAATAAAAGTAGCATAGTTTTAAAGACATGGATAAGAAATGGATTGGGTCCAGCACTAAGGCATAGTGGACAAAGCTGCCACCTGTCCAGCCAGCATCTCATATGAGCATCAGTTCAAGTCCCAACTCCTCCATTTCCAATCCAGCTCCCTGCTAATGGACCTGGGAAAGCAGCAGAAGATGGCCCTGGTGCTTGGGCCCCTGCTACCCTATCAGAGACCTGGAAGAAGCTTCTGGCTCCTGGCTTCAGCCTGGCCTCGACCTAGCTGTTTAGACCATTTGGAGAGTGAATCAACAGGTGGAAGATTCTATCTCTCTCTCTCTCTTTTACTCTGCATTTCAAATAAATCTTTTTAAAAAATGGATTGAAGTACATAAAGTTCCAAGAATTAAGTTATTTTCACTTAGGTTCTATTTATATTAAGGTTTTTGCTTTAGTATATATGCTTATATATTGCTTTCTTTTTAAAAAATTGCTGTACGTGCCGGCGCCGCGGCTCAATAGGCAAATCCTCCACCTAGCAGCGCCAGCACACCGGGTTCTAGTCCCGGTCGGGGCGCCGGATTCTGTCCCCGTTGCTCCTCTTCCAGGCCAGCTCTCTGCTGTGGCCAGGGAAGTGCAGTGGAGGATGACCCAAGTGCTTGGGCCCTGCACCCCATGGGAGACCAGGATAAGCACCTGGCTCCTGGCTTCGGATCAGCGTGAGGCGCCGGCCACAGCGCGCTGGCCACGGCGGCCATTGGAGAGTGAACCAACGGCAAAGGAAGACCTTTCTCTCTCTGTGTGTGTCTCTCTCTCTCACTGTCCACTCTGCCTGTCCAAAAAAAAAAAAAAAAAAAATTGCTGTACAAAGTTTCTTGAGTAATTTTGGTTCCACAAAATAATAGGCCATTTTGAGAGTAGGTAAGTAATTATTTCCAAAAAATTAGATTGTTTTCTCTCGTAGCCTGTCAACTCAAGGAAGTAAGACTGAGTGATCTAGCCCCTGTTAATCCTCGTCTCACCGCTCTACTTTTCATACTGCTCCAACAGCACATCCCTCTTCAGTTCCTACAGTGAGCCTGATCTGTTACTTTTTTTTTTTTTAAGATTTATTTATTTATTTGAAAGTCAGAGTTACACAGAGAGGAGAGGTAGAGAGAGAGAGAGATCTTCCATCCGATGGTTCACTCCCCAATTGGCTGCAACGGCCGGAGCTGCGCCAATCCAAAGCCAGGAGCCAGGAACTTCTTCTGGGTCTCCCATGTGGGTGCAGGGGCCCAAGGACTTGGGCCATCCTCCACTGCTTTTCCAGGCCAAAGCAGAGAGCTGGATCAGAAGTGAAGCAGCCAGGACACAAACTGGTGCCCATATGGGATGCTGGCACTTCAGGCCAAGGCATTAACCCACTGCCCCACAGCACCAGCCCTGTGGCCTGTTACTTTCGTACTTGTCTGGCTAACTGATTCTTTTTATTTTTTTATTTTTTTTTTGACAGGCAGAGTGGTGGACAGTGAGAGAGAGAGACAGAGAGAAAGGTCTTCCTTTGCTGCTGGTTCATTCTCCAATGGCCGCCGCGGCCGGCACGCTGCGGCCAGCGCACCGCGCTGATCCGATGACAGGAGCCAGGTGCTTCTCCTGGTCTCCCATGGGGTGCAGGGCCCAAGCATTTGGGTCATCCTCCACTGCACTTCCCTGGCCACAGCAGAGAGCTGGCCTGGAAGAGGGGCAACCGGGACAGAATCCGGCGCCCCGACCGGGACTAGAACCCGGTGTGCCGGCGCCGCAAGGCAGAGGATTAGCCTAGTGAGTCGCTGCGCTGGCCCTCTTTTTCAATACCAGCTTAAATATTACAATCAGATAAACTCCCCAAATCCCCAGACTAGAATAAAAATAGACTATTTTCATAGTGACTCCAATTATAGCTAACAGTTTTTATAATTATGTATACTACCTGTCTTCCCTACAATAGATTTTTTAAAATCCTAGAAGAAAAGAACCAAGCCTGTTTTGTTCACAATTGTAGTAGCAGAGTGCCAAACATATTGTAGGTGCTCAGTTGAAGTAAAATGCATTGAATGAATACTTTCATAATAGAAGGAAAGAAACATTTCTTTAATCCATATTTATGGCTAGATACTGTGAAAGGAACTTTGCACATTAACTTTGTGATTTAGTTGAAAGTGTCCCCCATTTTTACAGATGTTGAAAGCCTTACGTTAGTTTGGTTCCATTTTCATTTAGCAAAATTACAATTAGGACATTTAAAATAATTTTATGATATTTTACTTTCTTAAATATTAAAGTAATATCTTTTGCCATTTTAATGATAAATTAAAGAATATCTTTGCCATCCTATTGCTACCATCCTTTCTTTTTAGAATCATGAAAGTAAACTTTAAAATATTACAGATTAATTTTAGTATATTCATCCTTGTACAAATGGTAAGAAATTTTAGTTTATTGAAGTCTGTTAATGAGGATTAACTAAATACATTTGGGTGTTTGCAGATCAGTTTCCAAAAATACAGTCATAAAATGGACTAATGATAATGTGAATTTTGTTTTATTATTAGCATGTTATCAGGTGGATCAGATGGTGTGATTGTGCTTTATGACCTTGAGAACTCCAGCAGACAGCCTTTTTACACCTGTAAGGCGGTGTGTTCCATTGGCAGGTGTGTATTAAAAATGTAATTCATGAGTTTTTAAATAATCAAGTACTTTTTGCATCCAATACAAAACACGAAAGTAGCAGTCGTGAATGGTTCAAGGAGTTTGATGACAATCTACATGGCTATCCCTTAACACATTTTTCAAAGTAACTGAAAATTGTTTCCCAAAACAACTATTATCAATTTTCTAAAGAATTTTACTAAAACTCATTGGGTTACCTCCTTTCTATTATATACCTACATAGCACATTTCATTAATAAGTTTTTAATACCACTTTGTATAAAATTCATTTCTAAGTCTCTCAGCTAATTATTAACACAGGTTAGACTTTCAACTGATGTTAATGGAAGAAAAAGATCACAAGCTAGATATAATAAATGTACTGACAATCCCTCACCATAGACACACACACACACACGTTTCAGCAACTTACTCAGCGATCTCTAACATTAGAACATAGCCCTGTGTACTGTGACTTCTCAGACTATTCCTAACTGGCTGACCAATCTTATAAGAACTACTTCAGTCTCTAAAAAACTGTTTCATGACTTTGTTGTAATTTGTTATAAGCCAATTCTTCATTGTTACTTGTTTCTGAGCTGCTATTAGGTATGTGAAATAACAGAATAAGTACTAAGAAAATGCTTGGTTTTCAAAATATATATATATATGTATATATAAATATATATGTATATTTAATTTTTTATTTGATGCTTGTTCACTTCCCAAAAGCTTAGAGTAACCAGGATTGGGCCAAGCTGAAGCCAGGAGCTGGGAACTCAATCCGGGTGGGTGGCAGGTACCTGAGCCCATACAGGATGCACATTAATAGGAAACTGGAGTCAGAAACAGAGTCAGGGGGCCAGTGTTGTGGCACAGAATATTAAGCCACTACCTGCAATACTAGCATCCCATACAGGCACCAGTTTGATTCCTTCAGATCCATCTTCCTACTCATGCACCTGGGAAAACAGCAGAAGATGACCCATGTACTTGGGCCCTTGCCACCTTCTGGGAGACCCAGGTGGAGTTCTGAACTCCTGGCTTTGGCCTGGTCCAGCCCCTGCCATTGTAGCCATCTGGGGAGTGAACCAATGGATAGAAGATCTCTTTTTCTCTATGTCTCTTTCTCTCTGTCACTCTGTCTTTCAAATAAGTAAAATATATCTTTAAAGAAAAAGAAAAGGAAGAAAGCGAGAAATGGAATCAGGACTCAAACCCAGGCACTCTGATACTGGATGCAGGTATCCCAAGCAGTGGCTTAACTGCTGTGCCAGATACCCACCCCACAAGATGATTTTAATGGGAAAAACTTCATAAAAATTAACATCAGTAACCACTCTATATTAAAACTGTTCCGAAAGCACTAGAATAGATGCTTAAGTTCATGGAATGTTTGTGAGAAGACATGATTGTTTATAGGCTCTGGCTGTGGAATTTGGAATGCCCCTGAGCTGCAGATTTTGTTTTAGAGATCACAATATTTTTGCCCTGTCATTCTCATAAGGTTTCTTTGAGAATTAAATGAAATACTTTTTAAAAGTGTGTTGAATAAAAACATTTTTTAAAGATTTTTTGTTTATTTATTTGACAGAGTTACAGACAGTGAGAGAGAGAGAGAGAGAGAGAGAGAGAGAGAAAGGCCTTCCTTCTGTTGGTTCACTCCCCAAATGGCCGCAAAGGCCGGAGCTACACTAATCAGGAGCTGGGTGCCGCCTCCTGGTCTCCCATGCAGGCATAGGGGCCCAAGCATTTGGCCCATCCTCTGCTGCCTTCCCAAGCCACAGCAGAGAGCTGGACTGGAAGAGGAGCAACTGGGACTAGAACTCAGCACCCATATAGGATGCTGGCACTGCAGGCGGAGGATTAACCTAGTGTGCCACAGCATCGGCCCCTGAATAAAACTATTATATAAAAGCAATATAGTTATAGGAAACCAGTACAAGGTATCACCTCAAACACTTTGGAACTTTTACTTTTTTTTTTTTTTTTTTTTTTTTTTTGACAGGCAGAGTGGACAGTGAGAGAGAGACAGAGAGAAAGGTCTTCCTTTTCCCTTGGTTCACCCCCCCAATGGCCGCCGCGGCCGGTGCGCTGTGGCCAGCGCACCGCGCTAATCCGAAGCCAGGAGCCAGGTGTTCTCCTGGTCTCCCATGGGGTGCAGGGCCCAAGCACTTGGGCCATCCTCCACTGCACTCCCGGGCCACAGCAAGCAGAGAGCTGTACTGGAAGAGGAGCAACCGGGACAGAATCCGGCGCCCCGACCGGGACTAGAACCCGGGATGCCGGCGTCACAGGGGAGGATTAGCCTAGTGAGCCGCGGCGCCAGCCTGGAACTTGCTTTTGAAAAGGCTTATTAGGCCATTTATACTCTTTTCCTACCCTCACCAAAACAAAGAAGCAAAATTAAATTCTAAAGTATAAGATGGTTACATTAAATAATTCACTAATCTTATATTTTAAAGACTTTTTTTTAATTTGAAAGACAGAGCTATAGGTAAAGATGGAGGGGAGAGAGAGAGAGATATATCTTCCAATTGCTGTTTCACTCCCCTGCTGCCTGCAACAGCCAGGCCAACGCCAAGAGCCAAGAGCTTCTTCTGGGGCACCCATGTGAGTATATGAACCCAAGCACTTGGGCCATCTTCTGCTGCTTTCCCAGGCACATTAGCAGGGAGCTGGATCACAATTGGAGCAGCCGAGTCTCAACAGGTGCCCATGTGGAATGCCAGCCTTGCAGGCGGAGGCTTAACCTACTGCACCACAACACCCACCCCACTCATTTTTATCTTATTTCATCCTAGCTAACATTTCAACATTAAGTTTAATTGCTTTATAGCCAAACAATATTTTCATATATTCTGATTGTTACGTAATGATTTTGTTTCATGCTTTTTTGGTGTGTAACATAAGTAAATGCTTAGTGTGTCACTCTTGTCTGTACAATTGTATTCAAACTTTTTAAAAAAAAGTGTGACTGTATTTACACATGAGCATATAGTGGTCATCTTTACAAAATGATTAAAATAGCATTTTTACTTCAGAAGAATTTATAATTTAATTTTTAAAATAATTTCAAGAGACTTATTAAGTTAATGTAGCTTAGACTATTTTCTGACACTTATTATTGGTGCACTTAATGTGTTTGTTCTTGAGCACTAACAAGATTCCATTCTTCTACCAACATTCTTATTAAATGTGAATGAGGCAACCAGCACTGTGGCGTAGTGGGTAAAGCTGCCACCTGTGGTATCAGTATCCCATATCGGTGCTGGTTTGAGTCCTGGCTGCTCCACTTCTGATCCAGTTACCTGCCAATGCACCTGGGAAAGCAGCAGAAGATGGCCCAAGTGTTTGGGCTCCTTCACCCATGTGGGAGACCTGGAAAAAGCTCCTGGCTCCTGACTTCAGACTGCCACCTCCAGCCATTGTGGCCATTTGGGGAGTGAATCAGTGGATAGAAATTCACTCTCTCTGTCTCTCCCTGTCTCACTGTTACTCTGCCTTTCAGATAAAAAAATACATGTGAATGAGAATAAATAACCATACATAGTAAGATAATATCTTTATTTATTTGAAAAACATAGAGGCAAACATATGGAGGTCTTTCATCTGCTGGTTCACACCCAGAATGCCCATAACAGCCCCGGCTGGGCCAGGCCAAAGCCAGGAGGCTGGAACGCAGACTGCGTATCACAAGTAGATAACAGGGACCCAACTGCTTGAGTCGTGTTCTGCCGCCTCCCAGGTTGTATATTATCAGGAAGCTGGAATTGGAAGCAGAGCTGAGACCTAACCTCAGGTACTCAGATATGGGGTGCCAGTGTCCCACGTAGCACCTTTACCACCATGCCAAACATCTTCTCCATGTTTTAAATATAAATGAGTTTTTATTTGTGATCTCTACATTAATGATTTATTTAAAACTAATATCGGGGGGAAAATCTGTAGAAACCAAGAGTCTTAGGAGCAAATCGAAAGTAATTGTAGAATTTTTTTTTTTTTTTTTTTTTTTTGACAGGCAGAGTGGATAGTGAGAGAGAGACAGAGAGAAAGGTCTTCCCTTTGCTGTTGGTTCACCCTCCAATGGCCACCATGGCTGGCGCGCTGCGGCTGGCGCACCGCGCTGATCCGAAGGCAGGAGACAGGTGCTTCTCCTGGTCTCCCATGGGGTGCAGGGCCCAAGCACTTGGGCCATCCTCCACTGCCTTCCCGGGCCACAGCAGAGAGCTGGCCTGGAAGAGGGGCAACCGGGACAGAATCCGGCGCCCCGACCGGGACAAGAACCCGGTGTGCCGGCACTGCTAGGTGGAGGATTAGCCTATTGAGCTGCGGCGCCGGCCGATTGTAGAAATTTATTGGGAGGATATTTAGTATCTCACATAAGGTGGGAGATGGCAGAATCAAATTTAGAAAATGAGTAAAAAGTAAAAGAAACTAAGATAGAGAACACAGATCTCATCCCAAGAACAATTTGGTTTGGGTGCTGTCACATGTCACCAACAAAGACTAACTCTACAAATATAGATAATGAGTAACTCTCTATGAGATTTGTGTTCCTACCTCAAGATTTAGATTCTCAAGTAGATCTGATGAAGCCTAGTACACATAACCTTGCCCGCATGTATCCATTATACAGTCGAAGAGGCGATCATCCTTTCCCACAGATGATCAGGAGTGTGTTTATTACCACCTCCATTTCCAGGTCAAGATAATGCTATATAAAGTAAGGAAAATAGTTTAAATATGTATATGATGGAGAAAAAAAGGAAATATGATAGGCACTATAGTCCTTGTATTTTTACAACTATCTCAAAGCCAGAGCTGGTATTTCAGACTTTCCTTCTGGGCATTGTGGCACATTGGGTTACGTCATCACTTAGGGTACTGCCATCCCATATCAGAGTGCAAGTTCAAATCCTGGCTGTTCCACTTCCAATATAGCTCCATGCTAAAGCACCTGGGAAAGCAGCATATGAAGGCCCAAAGGCTTCGGCAGGCTCCTGGCAGTTGGTGAATAAACCATTAGATGGACGATCTCTGTCTCTCCCTCTCTGTCACCCTGCCTTTCAAATAAATAAAATAAATCTTAAAAAAATTATTTTTTTCTTCTTCCTGTTCTCATTCCTTCGAGTAACACTGTAAATATACAGCGTGGTCCTTTACCTAGTATTGTGATTTGGAGTCATCTTCACTCTTAGGAATCAGACCCATTTTTGTTATGTCTGCGTAAATTTGCAGTAGTTTTCTGTTTATTTCATTATAGTGAATTTCTAATGTATATAAAAGCAGAGAGTAGTATAATAAACTGTTTACCCATCACCCAGCTTCAACACCTATCGTTAAGTAATCTTGCTTCATCTTTACCCTCCATTCACCCATCTTTAGGATTATTTCTAAGCAAATCCCAGATAACATATTTTATCCAAGATTATTTGTATATATTTAAAAGAGACTTTTTATAAGCATAACCACACTACCATTAACATCACATGTGAAATAATTTACTAATAGTAAGTATACTATTAGTGTTCAGATTGCCTACCATTGTTTCATAAATGTCTCTTTTTTTTTTTTTTTTTTTTTACAATTTATTTATTTTAAAGGAAGAGTTACACAGAGAGGAGAGACAGAGGTATCTTCCATCTGCTGGTTCATTCTTCATATGGCCACAACAGCCTGGCTAGGAACCAGGAACTTCTCCTGGTCTCCCACATGGGTGCAGGGCCTCCACTGGTTTCCCAGGTGAGTTAGTGGGGAGCTGAATCAGAAATGGTGCAGAGGCCGGTGCTGTGGCATAGCGAGTAAAGCCACTGCCTGTAGTGCCAGCATGCCAGGATGGGCGCTGGTTCCAATCTTGGCTACTCCACTTCTGATCCAGCTCTCTGCTGTGGCCTGGGAAAACAATAGAAGATGGCCCAAGTCCTTGGGCCCCTGCACCCACATGGGAGACCGGGAAGAAACTCCTGGCTCCTGGCTTCAGATTGGCATGGCTCTGGCCATTGTGGCCATCTGGGGAGTGAACCAGCGGATGGAAGACCTCTTTCTTTCTCTCTCTCTCTGCCTCTGCCTCTCTGTAACTCTGACTTTCAAATAAATAAATAAATCTTTAAAAAGAAAAAAGGATAAAATGGCTAGCAACCATGAAATGTCTAAATAAAAAAGAGTCACAAAGCAGAAATGGAGCAGCCAGGACTCAAAGTAGTGCCAATATGAGATGCTGGTGCTGCAGGCAGAAGCTTAACCTGCTATGCCACAACACTGGCCCCTCATAAATGTCTCTTAACGGCCAGTTTGTTTGAATTAAGGTTTAGGTAAGATTTGGTGTTGATCACTGTTTCAGAGCATATACTGCAACTTTTGAGACAGTACATTCTCCTTGTGAGGTGATGTATTATATGTAGTTTATGTTTAACTGAATCTGCAGTGGATCATGCTTCTAGGGGTGATTGGGAACATAAGACTAGTGAATGCCATGGGCATCCACACTGGAATTCTTTGGTCATAAAGTTATTGATGAGATGCTGTATCATATAGGGTACCATGAAGGAGTGAGGCATTTCAGCATTTCTAAGAATGGTAGTGCTGATAGCATGTACTTGGGAAAAACAAATCCAGAACCAAAATCTTTGTCTCTTCCAGTTAGGACAAGTCTCCAGCTCCAATTACAAGAAGTCCAATACAGATGACTACTCCCTCTAGGCTATCTATAGTACAGAAATAGGAAGTCTCCTTAATCAGAGGCAGGCCTTCAGGTCACTCCATGGAACCTGACTTAGAGATACCTAAACAGGTTCTCTCCGCTTCGGGACAGCCAGAACACAAGCATGTGATCTAGGAATAGCCATTCATATCCTGTCTGAGACTGCTGTTTGTTCTTAAGAGAGTTCCAGTTTTGATACTCAGTAAGTTATCTCTACATTCTGATTGCTGTTTTATAGAAACCATCCTGATGTTCACAAATACAGTGTGGAGACGGTACAGTGGTATCCTCACGATACTGGCATGTTCACATCAAGTTCGTTTGACAAAACTCTGAAAGTATGGGATACAAATACATTACAAGTAAGTGCATTTTAAAACCTTTCAAAATTTCTCTGTGGAGTAAAGGAGAATTTAACCCTGAACTATTATACTGTCATTTTTGCTAAGATGTCATATATATTAGATGTGAAAGCAGTGTAGTAGTTAAAGAGAGCTGGATGGCATGTGTGAATATCCTGGCTCTGCAGTTGACCAGTTGTATATCACTGGGAAATGTCCAAACTTCACTGTGTCTCAGTTTCCTCTGTAAGTGGAGATAATAAGTGTGCTTTATAGAATGATTGTGAGGATGAAGTGAACCAATGTATATGAAGTACCTAGAACAGAGCATATCATAAATGCTCAAAAAGTGTTTAGTATTTTTTCTTTTTTTTGAAGATTTATTTTTATTTATTTGAAAGAGTTACTGAGAGAGGTAGAGACAGAGAAAGAGAGAGGTAGAGACAGAGAAAGAGAGAGGTCTTCCATCACTACCCAAATGGCCACAACAGCTAGAGCTGAGCTGAACCAAAGCCAGGAGCAGGAGCTTCTTCCAGATCTCCCATGCGTGTGCAAAGGCCCAAGCACTTGGGTCATCTTCAGCTGCTTTCCCAGGTGCATTAGCAGGGAGCTGGATAGGAAGTGAAGCATCTGGGACTCGAACCAGCGTCCATATGGGATGCTGGCATTGCAGTCTGAGGCTTTAACCTGCTGTGCTACAGTGTCAGGCCCTAGTGTTGTTTTTTGTTGTTGCTTTGTTTTTTAAGATTTATTTATTTGAAAGGCAGAGTGCCAGGGAGAGGATGAGAAAAAGAAAACGATCTTCCTTCTGCTGCTTTCACTCCCCAGATGGCCACAACTGTCACGGCTGGGCCAGGCCACAGTCAAGAGCCTGGTATTCCATCCAGCTCTCCCATGTGGGTGCCAGGGCCCAAGCAGTTGGGTCATCTTCCACTGCTTTTCCCAGGCATGGTAGCAGGGAACTGGATAGGTAGCTGAGCCTAAGACTCAAACTGGTGTTATAATTTAGAATGTTGGGTGTCTTAACCTGCTGTGCTACAACACTACCTGCTCTCTTTAAGTGTTGTTAATCTTTATTACTTGAAAACTGTGGTCCAGTGATCTAAGGAAGAAAATTTGATTTATCTTCTATTGACCTACAAACATTAAAAAAAGTATTAATATGATAGCCTAGTAAAGTTTGACAGTGGGTAAAAGTTTTTATGGTAGTTGGTGAAATTTAAATTTCTATGCTGATTTTTTCTCTGAACTCTATTCCCTTATTTCTATACCTTTCTACAGACTTTCTACATAAATATAGTGTCACCTTTTGAAATTTTCTATACTAAACATGATTGCCTTTCACATCCATTTAGTCATAAAATCTTGAATAGTCTTCTTTCAAACTCTCATACTTTTCTTTCCTATTTCACTCATCATCATTGCACATCTAAACTACTAAAGACTCCTGATTTCCCTGCCTTACATTTCTCACATTTTCCACAGTTCTATCTCAGAATTTATCTTATGGTAAAGCAATTTTGTCATACCTCTATGCAAAGTCTCTAGTAATTCCCGTTGTCTAAACTCAAGCTAACATTCTAAGTTCTCCATAATGTCTTTTGATTCCATCAATCCTAGCTTCTACCTATTTTCAGTGCAAAAAAATTTGCTGCAACTAAATTGATCTCCTTTTGCTTGCTGATCACATCTTGATTGTATTATACTCCCTACTTCTATTCCCTGTGTACAACTTCTCCCTTTTGAGATCTTTTCATAATTACATTGAACCGGGGCTGGCACCGTGGCACAGTAGGTTAATCCTCCACCTGTGGCGCCAGCATCCCGACCCTGGTTCGAGTCTCGGCTGCTCCTCTTCTGATCCCACTCTCTGCTGTGGCGTGGAAAGCAGTGAAAGATGGCCTAAGTGCTTTGTCCTCTGTACCCGCATGGGAAACGAGGAAGAAGCACCTGGTTCCTGGCTTCAGATTGGCACAGCTCCAGCCTTTGCGGCCATTTGGGGAATGAACCAATGGAAGGAAGACCTTTCTCTCTCCCTCTCACTGTCTAACTCTACCTCTCAAATAAATAAATAAAATTAAAAAAAAAAAAGATAATTACATTGAATCAAGAAGTAGTATGCCAGAGTGCTAGTCTCATTCTGCTCTTTATTAGATATTTTACTTTAGGTAACTCATTTAATAATTAGGAAAAGTCTCCTCAGTTATAAAATTAAGGTGTCAGATTATATAACATCCAAAAGCCCTTCCTCCAGTTCTGTTATATGTACAATCATGTTACTCACCCTCTTATTTTAACTTTATAACACTCTTCTGTATTCTTATTTCAACACATTATTATACTACTTTAATATATCATTTTCATAGCTCGATGCAGCTCTATGTTTTCTAGATTGTTACTTCTTTTGGAAAATGACTGTATTTTATATTCTAAGGTCCAGTACTATTTGTAACTCCTGAATAAATACTTTAAGGATGACTAATGATCCATGTATCTAACCCCAGAATAATAGTTAATATAATTATAAAGTGTTATATGATTTTTAATATTGATTTTTTAAACAAATAGAGCTATATAAATAAATATAAATCAAGTACATTTCTAAAACTCAAAATAAATAGGCTTTTTTGAACTTATATGTTAGAAAATAATAGTCCTATTATTTTGGATTTATTTTCATAATAATATATTTATTTTAACTGCATCATTGAAAATGAGAATATATTAAGGATTAAATGTATGTTATGAACTTCTGATTATAATGAAATAAGTTGTAGCCAAACCAGCATCTCTACTGGGAAAAACTAGAAAGTTGAATGACACATAAGTATCTGTTAGAGGGTTTGGAAAGCTGCCAAGGAATCTAAGCCATGAGAGGCCAGTTCCTAGAGAGAAGGAAAAGTTACACAAGTGAATTTGACTTTCTACATGCTCTTCTCCCCTTTGGTAATTTGCCATTTCTTTCTTTCTTTCTTTCTTTCTTTCTTTCTTTCTTTCTTTCTTTCTTTCTTTCTTTCTTTCTTTCTTTCTTTCTTTCTTTTTAGATTTTTAGAATTTTATTTATTTATTTGAAGGGTAGAGTTACAAACAGTAAGAAGGAGAGACAGAGAGAAAGGTCTTCTTTCCATTGGTTCACTCCCTAAATGGCTGCATCGGCCGGAGTTGCGCCAATCCAAAGCCAGGAGCCAGGTGTTTCTTCCCAGTCTCCCATGCAGATGCAGGGACCCAAGTATTTGGGCCATCTTCTACTGCTTTCCCAGGCCACAGCAGTGGGCTGGATTCGACACTGTGGTGGATTCACTCGAACTGGCGCCCATATGGGATGCCAGCGCCACAGGTGGAGGATTAACCTGCGCCATGGTGCCAGCCCCATGCCATTTCTTGATGTAGAGCAAGAGACCAAGATGGCAGACTTTGGATAACCTTCTCAGAAAAGGCAAGAATAGCCAGTCCCCTGCCTCCTAGAGATGTCTGTGTCCTATTTCCTGGAACCTGCAACTGTTTCTATCACCTAATGAAAAACTACCAAGCATACCAAGAAACAGGCCCTCAAAAAAAAAAAAAAAAAAAAAAAAAAAAAAACCAGAAACATACTAATATCTCTAGGCCTAAATGATTTTGCCAGTATATTTAAAAGTGGCACCATTTTTTTAAAAAATTATTTATTTCTTTATTTGAGAGGCAGAGAGAGATCTTCATCTGTTGGTTCACTCCCCAAATGTCTACAACAACTGGGGCTGGGCCAGGCTGAAGCTAGAAGCTTGGAGCTTCTTTCGAGTCTCCCATGTGGGTGCAGAGGCCCAAGTGATGGGCCCAAATACTTGGGCCATCTTCTGCTGATTTCCCAGGTACATTAGCAGGGAGCTGGATCAGAAGAGGAACAGCCTATACTTGAATGGGCACCCATACGGGATGCCCGCACTGCAGGCAGAGGCTTAACCTTCTTCACCACAGTGCTGGCCCCAGTAATACCAATCTTATAAAACAACTTAAAGAGGATAATGAAGGAAGAAGAGACATTCACAGACTTGTTTTATGAGGTCAGCATATCCTTGATTCCAAAACGTAATAGGAACGTTGTAAGAAAAATTACAAAAATCCTAAACAGGCTGTTAATAAGCAGAATGTAGCAACAAAAAATAATATCTCACAATTGGACAGAATTTAAAGTTTTTATTTATTATTTGAAAAAAGTTACAGAGAAAGGAGAAACAGAGAGAGAGAAAGAAATCTTCCATCTGCTGATTCACTCCCCAAATGGCAATAATAGCCAGGGCAGGCCAAAGCTGGGAGCCAGGAGCTTCATCCAGTTTTCCCACATGGATTCAGTGGCCCAATAACTTGGGCCATCTTCAGCTGCTTTCCTAGGGGCATTAGCAGGGATCTGGGTTGGAAGTGGGTCTTGAGCAGGCACCCACATGGGATGCCAGTGTCACAGGCAGAGGTTTAACCTGCTGTGCTACAACAGTGGCCCCATAGACAAGATGTATTACAAGAATCAGGGATTTGTTTTTGTTTTTGTTTTTGTTTTTGTTTGACAGGCAGAGTGGACAGTGAGAGAGAGAGACAGAGAGAAAGGTCTTCCTTTGCCATTGGTTCACCCTCCAATGGCCGCTGCGGCCGGCGCACCGCGGGCGGCACACCGCGCTGATCCGATGGCAGGAGCCAGGTACTTCTCCTGGTCTCCCATGGGGTGCAGGGCCCAAGCACCTGGGCCATCCTCCACTGCACTCCCTGGCCACAGCAGAGAGCTGGCCTGGAAGAGGGGCAACCGGGACAGAATCCGGCGCCCCGACCAGGACTAGAACCCGGTGTGCCGGCGCCGCAAGGCAGAGGATTAGCCTAGTGAGCTGCGGCGCTGGCAATCAGGGATGTTTTAACACCTGAAGATCAATATAATTTGTTCTGTTAATAGGGAACAACTACATAATCATCTTGATACATATAAAAATTTAATGAAAGTCAACTTTCATTGAACTTTCAATAAAAGTTCATGTTTTAAAATTTTTCATTTTAAACAC